ACACTGATTATTGGCGGTGTGCAACCCTAATAGGCCATGTGAATAGGGCCTTAGTGCTTACAAGCTTTTTTAGATACATATTTGAAAGTAACTTATTCAATTTAAAGTGATATACAAAGTGTTTTTAAACTATTTAAAATGCTGATTAAATGACTTACAATGGATGCTGCTCCTTGATGTTTAAAAGTTTTCGTTTTCTGCAGAATCAGCTGGTCCCCTGAGCACTGACCCTGATATCTTGTTTTAGGGTGGCTTCTTTGCCTTGCAGGGTCCTATGGAGCCACCCTTGTGTGTGCAAGTAAGTTGTGTGTGTCTCCACAAACACACAGGCACAGCAAAGCAAACCGCTCCCCTCTCCTCACTTCTCCAAGCTAGTAGATGGATGGTTGCTGCAGACTGTGCTTTCTCTTGTGTTACTGTAGTTGAAAGGAAGTTCAGGGAAGCCGAGCTGAGAGGGCTGGAGCCAGTTGTTTGGAAACATGATGACTGTAAGTGTTTGGCCAAAAATGTAAGGAAATACTTTGCTGGGTATTGTATATTTGCTTGATCTGGATTTATCATAAAAAAAGAGAGCTTAATACTACTTTAAATGACTGTCACAAAAGGCTCAATTCACAAAGCTAACACACCTGGATAAGTATCCGTATTTTCAAAGAAGTGTCTTTTATTTTCAGACTCCAATAAGATATAAACAAATACAGTCACATGGCTGAAAATAAAGCGCCTTAGGCTTCTGAAAAACATTGGTAATTGAACCTACTGTGTGTTAGCGTTTGAGAAACATTGGGGGACTTTTTTATTGACATCATGGCAGTTTGCTAATCTGTCATAGAGATTCAGCAGATTTATCATAATGTCGCATTTTATGTAATAAATGCACCGTATCACTTTGCGTCTGTTTTGTCGGATTGTGCAAAAGTGTGGCAGATTTGCCAACTTGCTGCAATTTGCCTAAATATTAGTTCTTAGAAAAGCATCTCAGTTGTCATTTTCAGATAATTGCCGTTGTTTAAAAAGTGGTCCACGTAACTTCTTAATAACATGAAAAATTGCTCTATTAATTGTGCCGCAATCTTGTTCGTAACACTTGCAACAAATGGGCAGACATTCGCAGATTGGTGGCAGACATTATTAAAGTATATCTAAAGTCACAACATTTTGTTAATATATATTTTCTAGAATTCTAATTTTTTAGAATAAGAAATGGTTAAAACCCACCATTTGAGAGATTTCCCGTCATTCAAGCCAAGCCCCTAACCATCTTGTTTTGAATTGTATTGTAACTGTAATGTCTTTCTTGTATTGTAAAGCGCTGTGCAAACTGTTGGCGCTAGGGATGCACTGAAATTTCGGCCACTGCAACATATCGGCCAAAAATGGTACTTTGGGCAAAATGCCGAAAGTACCATTTTGTGGCCGAAATTGCAGTGCATCCCTAGTTTATTTTTCTTCCTCGCTGTGCACTGCTCTATCTCCTCTCTGACACAGAGCAGTATCCAGCGAGGAGGAGAGAAGCTGTCAGGAAGACGTGCGGGGCAAGGAGGAGAGTCACAGGTTTCACAGAAGGCCAAGCTCTCCTTCTACACAGCCACCTCAGCCCCCTGGGACAGGCAGAGACTCAGAATGAATAGATGACAATAGCTACGCTAGGAGTATAGTTTTGTTCTGAACAATGGACTAGCTGCAACAATCTGTGATTTAATAATCATGTGTATTAGTGCTAATTATGCTGCGTTCAGTCAAAATGTAAACGAATAAAGCTCTCAAAGTTGATAAGTGAAATTCACCTCGTACTTGTGGACATGGGTGAGGTCAAACATTTTTTTAGTGAAATACTCTGTGCAATTATAAAAATAAAAAATCTAGCCTCATTTGCATATACCTTCCAGGTAGAAGTACTTAAAATTGCATGTTTAGTACTGCGGTGAAAAGCTGTACATTAAAGAGAAGGTTTTTTTTCATGGTGAGATGGAGGTTATGGAGAGCCTTCAAAGTTGTATGAGGACACTTGGAAGATAAAAGTGTTTTCATGTTTGGCTCTCGGGATTCCAAGCTCCACAACTACTTCTACCATGTCAGGCTTAACACTGAGGGAGGGCGACAGATGCGTTGTCACCTGATGGGCTAGTGACAGATAATTGTGGGAAACACATCAAAGAGGGCTCTGAAATGATATATAAGCTCTGGATAAGAGAGATGAGACATTTATGTCTATCTGGCCTGTTAGTAGTTGTCAGTCTGGCAACTTACAAATCATTTTGCTCTTTCACCTCTTACATTGTAATTGCAAAACGCTAAGTACTTTCCATTTTTTTAAAGGGGAGTTATCATATCTCCAGGTGCTCATTCTAATTAATTCTAAAGTCAACCGGAAAGCAATTTATCATGCCTTAAAGGGAAAGCAATTTTAGTTTCACTGACTGCATATTTTGATTTCATAGTACAGTGCTTTTTAAGTGCTTTGTCTTCCATATATTTGTTATTGTATTAAATACAGAAATTTCAGTGCGGCAAAGGCACCGCAAACGTTTTTTTTTTTTTTTGCCAAGGCATCTATTTAAATTAGCATCAAGAATGAAATGCTGAAATATAAAAACACCTTTATGTGTATCCACCAGCAACCCAGGGTGCTCTGTTTTGCGATCTTCAGCAGGAGCTCAATTTGCTATTGGTTATTGAGTCTTCCAATTGTATCCAAGAACCAATAGTGAGTTGCAGGAGTAATGGGTAAGGAACCAGCTTTTGGCTTTTCTTCTTTAAGTTTCCTCTTTCCTAGGGAAATACTGGAGGATGTGTGAAGAACCCTGATTTCATATAATGCATGACCATGGTGTTGTACTTTAATATGATTCCAGGTCCACGTTTAGGTTTGTCCTCCTAATCAAACTGTCTTCCTGCCTCTGTACCTTCTACAATATATTTCCTTCCAACATATACGTATTTACAGGGCTGCCACAGAGTTGATAATTTAAGCCCGAGAGTTCATGAACTTCACTTTCATGAACCTCACATAGCTTTCATATAATGCTTGAGGACAGTGTTGTACTTTAGAGTGAGTCCCGGTCCACGTTTAAGTTTGTCCACCTAATAAAAGTGTCTTCCTGGCTCTATACCTTCTACAATACATTGTATTTCCTTCCAACGTGTACCTATTTACAGGGCTGCCACAGAGTTGACCGTTTAAACTCGAAGGTTCATGAACTTCACTTTTTTTCCAACTGTGCTTCTTGACATTTGTGTTGGAAAGCTTTACATAAACATCCAAATGGATACATTCCTTTGCCATAGGCATAATTTCTTGCTTGTACAGATAAGTGACTGCTCTTTATATATCCTAAGGCCGACATTGTCAAGAGGACACATTCCCCTGCTCCATAAAAGGAGAAGAGTTCCTAGAGCATTCATCTGAAGCCTTTGATGGGGACTTTTGAACCCAGGGAAGGTCCACAGGCTATTTTTTCAAAGTTCCATCTTAGGTACATAGATTCTGACATTGTTTTTCTATGCCTCTTCCTGAGGCTTATTTAAGGCCTGACACACGGTTAGGAGAGTTTTTATTACTGTAATAATAATTCAGCCCCTTAGGTCAACATGTACCCTAAGAAAAGAGGTATTTTAACGAGGGTGACCTTTCAAATATATTCAACCAAACAGTTCAAATAATGTGGTTATATAGCACTTCCATTTACAAACTAACTTCTCTAGCGATCAACATACGGTATATTGACAAATTAAGAGAGTGAATCTTCCCGGTGTAGACACACAGTCTTCATAATGCAAAAAAAAAAAAAAGTTTCGGCTAGATATATGTTAACTTATTTCACAGTAACATGCATCAGATGTAAAGCACAGGTTGAAAACATGATTTTGTCTTTGTTATAGACCCAAAAACACCATCTGACATTGCATACAAATGCCATCTATAGCATATACAGTCAAACAACACTTGGCGAATATCTGTGGTCATAATAATTGCATAATTTAATCCCTTACCACGGAAGGGACACATGCACTCTTATCACCAACAGCTCCTGGTTTTGGACTAATGATCCGGAGCTGGCAGGATTGGCTGCTGTGATCGTGTGATCACTGTGAAAGCCAATCACAGTGATCACACATTTTAGAACCCTTCTTTGTACTCTTTCTTCTCTGTAAGGAAAAAAGGATACATTGAGAGGAATTTATCAAGACTGGAATATTCAAAATCTGAAGCACTTGCCTACGGCAACCAATCAGCTTTTAGCTTTCATTTTCAACATGTAACTAAACAAACAGAAGAGAGAACCTTATTGGTTACAATGGGCAACTGCTCTAGATTCTGTCTGCTCCAGTTTTGATAAATGTTCGCCTCATTAGGGGAGATGTCACTCCAAAAACATGTTGGAAGGTTAATTGTCTCCTGTCTAAATTGGCCCTTGTATATATGCATGTGAGATAGGGCCTTTAAAACATATGTGGTTTTTTTTGGTCTGTGCTAAATATAAAGGGAAAATAAAAGGAAAGAGTCTGATAACAGAAAACAAATGCAGCTACAACATTAACGGACTTCTATATTCAAATATATAATTTTTTTTTAATCTTGTGTTTAGATACACTTTAACGGCAGCAGAGAAAAATGCCAGACAGGGATGTACTTTGTGGCAGAGCTGTGTAAATCCCAGGAATGCATGAAAATGCACAACACCCGCAGATGAATACACAAACAATCACTGCATCTGACAGGATGCAGTCACTGTTCAGCCAATAGTTTTCCACTCTGCTCAGACAATTTTTGAATTTTTGTTGAGCTGGATGGTGCTTGCAGGGCTACCCATAGCTCGAATCTCAGCCGATTCAGCATACTCCATCTGTTTTAAAGCTTGCACTTATTTGCAATCATTCTGAAAAGCAGTGTAACTATACACAAAAGAAAAAAGTGAAAAAAGCTTGATCGATGCGACTTTTGATTTTATGCCTCACCCAACGTGCCATCCTTTCCATATAGGTAATAAACTGCTTACCTACTCGTAGCTCTTGTCCGAATACTGTCCTCTCTCCGAGTGCTGAGCAGTTCCATCGGGAGTAGCGGAACTGATACTGGCATTCATTGATCCCCATCTGTGCCCCTTCTCCAATAACTATAATAGCATCCGGGCGGCTCTCGCAGATGGCTCTTTGCCGAGGCGCCAACCCTGGAATCTTGTTGCAGATGATGTTTGCTCCCAAAGCCACCACGGATGACAAAGCTCTAGAAAAAAATAAAAAGTTATAACAGAAACGAAGGCAAATTCTGAAGGTCAGAAAGGCGAACAAATACTTGTGTATTTTTTTCATATGTTATGCTACAGTTGTACTGACCAAGTTTATGACTATAAATCTCATGCATTCAAGTTCATGACTAGTTTGCTTAATAAGGAAATAAGAAGGAAATCTATCTAAGCCCCTTGTGCCCAACCCATGGTACTTGCTGTGTAGACCCCAATAGTACATGTAATGTGGGGGGTTCTCTATCAGTCTCATGTAACTTTTCCCAAGTCTTTGTCTCTTGCAGTAGGTTTCAAGTGTCCAACAACACCTGTAATATGTCTTAAGTCTCTGGCTATCTCCTCTAGTGTGGCTGCGGTTTTAACAATCTGCAGACTTTGGTTAAAGCAACCACAGTTAAGGCCCCTATTTCTCATAAGATGACAACTACCGCTCTAAGCCGTAACCATGTGTGATGGAGCCCCATAAAAAAAAAAACCCATCAAGGGTCTATGGTCTCTCTGTTAATTTTAAGAGCAATTTTCCTAATGATACAGAATACAAAATATAAATGTGTGCCCAGAATTTGGCTAGGCCCCCCCTGTGTTTCTGGGCACCATAGCAGTCACGTTCATATTCCATACCAAAAACCATAAAATAAAAAAGGTGGCATCCTCTGCATCGCTTTAGTTTAGCTCACACAACCAATGCCTGCCATACAACTGTTGATGAACTTTAGAAACAATGAATCCTGAGAATCCTTAGACAAATGTGTAGGTGGCATGGACAAAACTGAGACACTTGACAGCTATGCTCTTTGGTATAATTCTGTACGTTGAGTTTTACATCCTAAGAGCGCTCTCTCCATGTGAAGTAACGCTTATTAAAATGAATTTAAAAAGTGGTAATGTACTGGCCACTCGCTTCTGTTGGAAGAGGGCTCCATTGTCAGCTGGTCAGGCTGCGGTGTGGATTTTGGATGGGCTGTTAGCCTTCATTAATAGGAACCATTTGGATGCGCTTGTTTTTACTACTGTTGTGAGTACATTACCACTTTTTTAATTCCTTTTAATAAACATTACTTCACATGGAGAGGGCACTCTTTTGTTGTTTTTCTTATTAGATATGAAGGTTCCTGCCTTGTGGAGCTGCCCCCATTGTGATCAGGTGAAACTGATTGAAACGAAAGCCTGTTTGTGATCCATTGTGCTGGGAGTGAATTTAACTTGACTTTAATTGCTGAGTTTTACATCCTATGGTCCAAGAATTAGAGGCACAAGGACTCCATAAATATATTTTTTAAACTGTACAAAGGCAGAAAGCACACCGGACAACTAGATTTCACTTTAGTGGAGTCAGATTTTCTCCTTCTTAGACCAGTTCGAGCCTCCCGTCACCTTTTGAAGCCCCCTCCTGTTCTTACCTGGAAATAGCTGTCACTTAGTTAAATATTTTAGGTCATTAGTCTACTTTGTCTCTTTGCACTGAGGATAAAGATTACAGTGCCCTGTCTCAACAGCATCTTTAGGTTATTGTTAAGCAGATAGGGCCGCCATTTTGTTCTAAGCACTGAAGTCTTCTGTCTGGTGCTGAAGAAACAAGCCATATTTGTAGTGGAAGATAATGCTGTGACAACACAGTCTGAGAAGACTAATTCCCCATGTCTTTATAAGCCACCTACACTGTCTTTTTTCCTCTAAGAGTATCAAACTGCTAAGTATGAAAAGTCACCATGGCCTCTTTTATCACAAATGTCTACAAGTGAAAGGTTTTGCCCATTGCAACCTGTCATTTTTCTAGCCTGAGCAAAGATATAATAGAAATAAGTTGTTGATTTCTGTGATCAACCAACATACACATTTGATAAGCAAAGACCAATATGACCTCAAGCATTTCACAGAACCAAATCTAAATAGCATGGTCGTTATAGCTGTGCATGTCTATAAGAAACTGCCATCATCTAGGCAGATAGAATAATTATTCTTTAAGAGTATAGAAGATGTAGAAGGCCACTTATAAGGCCGTCTTGCCTTCATAGGGGGGTATAAATTGTGGGTCTGATGCAGTCCACAGGATCTGAGTCTGAATCGAGAGCCACATATGTGGGATTTAATTAATCCTATTAGCAGCTCAGAAGGGCTCAAAAGGCCTCTACAGCCCTTAGATGTGGTGACTACATTAGCCTTCTTTTTTAGGCTTAGAACATTTTCTCCAAGTACAGAAAAAAATATGTTTGTCCTGACAAGAGCTATAACTCTTGTTCTAAAATGTTGTATACTTACGGTATATACCCACAATGAAATGTGGAAAATATGCCATGTTGTGGGTTTTCAAGGAACAGAATTGGGAGTTACAAATCTTGTTCAGTCTATTCTTCCAAAGCCTAGAAGGTACAGACAACTCAACATCCACTACCAATGTCACTTGCTAAAAGTGTATCTAAATCCAAAAACAAAACTTTAATATATTACAGCTTACCAGTCCACCAGGATATGGTGGTTGCACTAGTTTTCATTCTTCCATGCTTTTATTCCTCTATTATCACTATTATTGCATTAGTTTTATTTTTTTCCATGTTTTTTCCTCTTTATTATCACCTATGGTCCTGCTAGTAACACACTTGCTGCTCTAGGATCACAACATACATTCACTATATTATGTCTATGTAGCATTGTCAACCATGGGCATATGGACAGGACTACAGAACACCCCCTTCTTCTCCACAACATAGGAAGGATGTGTTTTGTAGCCCACAGAGATGGCTGGAAACAATGCTTACTGATAAGAGTGCAACACATGCAAAAAGCACAGAATGTTATCAGCTCACAAGATTTCTGGTAGGATCAGAAGTTGTCTTTTTTTTTGACGTATTGAACAGATTTAACAAAACTCTTTCAATAGTATATTTAACAGATCACAATAGAGCAAATAAGTTAAGTTATTATTAGGGATAGCAAATACTTCGTATATATTTTCTTACTTTCTTTATTATGATCAGGGCTATAATAAAATATATTTTTTTCCATTAAATATTATTACTGTAGTGTGCAGCCTTTTACCCAGGCAACAGGTGAAGCTGTCGGCTAATTTTTGCATGCTTTACTCGCATGTCTTCTTACCATCTAGTAATAAACATATAGTGTAAAAAAACACTGTTTTAAAAACTTTAGACTTAAAGTAACCTTGACCCAAGGCCATTAAATCCTGCCTTTCTTCTATACCTGCCCTTACGAGAGAGAGAAGGCCCACTGTATGAGTATCTCAAAGGGTATGAAAACAATTCCCATTGTGCAGCACATACTCCTAATTAGGAATAAATGAAATTGAAAGTTTCAATTTCCTGTTTTAGATTATAGTTTTTCTGGAAAAATTAGAAGTTTCTGGCAGTTTTTCACCATTTCGCTAAATGCATGGAAGTCAATGAGGACGATGAAATTAAGAGCACTTTCACACTAGCCCACACAGTTTTAGCCTGTGGGCTAGTGTGGTGTGACCAGTCCGGTGGGTGGATGGTGTGATGTACTGATGAGCAGAGGGGGATGTAGAGGTAAGCAGAGAGGAGAAGTTTGGGGTGCAGATGTTAGTAGGGGGATTCAGGATGCAAAGATAAGCAGAGTGGAGGTGGGTTGGTTGGGGTGCAGAGTAGAGAGGGAAGGGTCACTGTAAATACCCCTGTTACATTGCTGTTCAGTGTAAATGCCTCCAATGTTTTGATAGTGGTCAGTGCAAATCTTCCCATTATATTGGTGGTCAGTGTAAATGCCCCATTACAAGATCTACCAGCACTGTACAGACAGGGTTCATTAAACATGGTAAATGTTAACTCCCCAGCCCCCTCTTTGAAATTACATAGCATGGAAAAACTTTTAAAGTTTTCAGAATAGAGCAAGGAAAATATTTTAAGGTATGTCGTGTGAATGGGAACATGTAACAAATATAGAATAGGTGTTATCTCAATTTGGCTGAAAAAGTAAAAACAGACTTTAAATAGCTCATAAGGGTTGCAGAAGCCCCTTTAATTGATCCTAGGCCTGTTCTAGTGCCAAAAATGGCCCCTCAGCAGGATATTATTTTGGTCATGACATCTATTGCTTTTCGTTCTGCTCCTTGCCTCTTGGGCTAGCCCTTTTAGCTGAATCCAGGGGCAATTTTTATACCGGGCCGCAAGGCCTAGCCATTGTATTACACATTGTCACTTATTTATTTCTTCTCCACTGTCTGTGCACCTTCACTTTTTTATGTGCGTATTTTTCACCCCACAAGATGGAGGGTGTGGTTCATCAGGCCTACCCTGGGAAGATGTGTGGCCATTAGGCTCCTTCCTTCCCTGAATCGGGGGTCTCCCTTCAGGAGAGCCCCCAACCAAATACTCAGTGGTCGGCTTTGGCTGACCATGAGGAATGGGTCCGTCTGGTTTTGGCCAGGTGAACACGAGTGCCTTGCCCCTGTCAGGAGCCTTGCACCCCAGTGGATCAGGGAAGTGCCCTATCTCTTTAGGAGATGGGCCATTTAGACACAGCTTCTGCACTTTTTTGTGTGTGTGTTTCACATGCACTTTTTTGTTCACTTTTGGGTGTTTAATTGCACGCACCGCAGGCTGCAAAAAAAATAAAAAATTAACAAAAATGTATCTTATTTGTGTATCACTCAGCTGTGTGTGTGTCGCTCCCGTGATAGACTACAGTCTGAGTATACATTTACTAAACTAAACATGAGATTGTAGTCTCATGGACTCATATACACGCACACACCTGCTCAAACATAAATGCATACACGCAATAGGTTGGAGCGGTGACTACTTTACAACACACACAGGGACCATGGGGAACAAAAGTAACCACCCTCCAGAAGGAAGGACAGTGTCACCACCAATTGAGTGATGATTTGAGTATCTACATCTGAGTGATACACAAATAAGATACATTTTTGTTAATAGTTAAAGTACTTGAATGCATTTTTAAGATTTAACTCCTGAGTTTAGTGTCACTTTAACACTTATGTTAA